ACAGAGGAAGATGCAAACCACTGCACAAAAAGTTGGACTCCTGCACCGGGTCTTGAACGGGCAAATATTTGCTGAAAGGGGCGGGGTTTAATGTTCTGGAATTTTACAGGCGGGTAGACTTCTGCGACAGAACACCGGTCCTTTCTGCGGTCACCCCGAGCTCGTCCTGACAGTGAGTCCTGATTCAGTTCTGGTTTAGTCCTTATGTAGTCTTAGTTCAGTCCTGGTTCAGTCCTGGTTCAGTCCTAGCTCCGTCCTGGTTCTGTCCTGGTTTAGTCCTCATTTACTCCTGGTTTAGTCCTGGTTTAGTCCTAGTTCAGTCCTGGTTCTGTCCTGGTTTAGAAATGGTTTAGTTCCGGTTTAGTCCTAGTTCAGTCCTGGTTTAGTCCTCATTTACTCCTGGTTTAATCCTGGTTTAGTCCTAGTTCAGTCCTGGTTCAGTCCTGGTGCAGTCCTGGTTCAGTCCTGGTTTAGTCCTGGTTCAGTCCTGGTTTAGTCCTAGTTTAGTCCCGGTTTAGTCCTAGTTTAGTCCTGGTTTAGTCCTCATTTACTCCTGGTTTAGTCCTGGTTTAGTCCTAGTTTAGTCCTGGTTTAGTCCTCATTTACTCCTGGTTTAGTCCTAATTCAGTCCTGGGTTAGTCTTGGTTCAGTCCTGGATTAGTCCTCCTCTTCAGTCCTGGAATCAGTCCTTGGTTAGTCCTGGTTTAGTCTTGGTTCAGTCCGTGGCGTATGCAGTGCAAAAGTTTGATATAATCTTGGGTTAACAGGCAGGTGCAGGCAGGTGCGGGCAGGTGCAGGCTCTTAACTCATTTTTTATCGAAGCCAAATGTAAATTCAGAAGGAAAAAATCTCAAGTGTGCACCATTCTGTAGCAATTTATGTCTCGCGAGGTTTTGTGCTACGAGATCTTGTCCCGTCCCGACTAATTCTCTTTCTAAACACAGCTTAATTTTCCATTATATTACTTGATCTTGCAGAAAAAGTCCCCCAAACTCTGCAGCTCTCCTCTTGTTCTTCATTAGCACTAATCCAGTAATCCTCCTTGTAAAAACGTGGTCTAATTCTCCTTGAATATGTAAGATATGTATCATCAGAATTACATACAGAGAGCCAAATAGGATTCATTATGGTTTAAAGGCTTACCTCCAGAAACTATGATAACATGAACCTTCTTGGTCACTTTCACACAGGCTCAGTCAAGATAACAGGGTTTTACAGAATATTACAATGAAACCCGCCATTTTAGTATCAAATGTTTATGTTCTGATAAGCTTTTTTAATGTTTAATGTAATATCATAAAGACTAAATGTAGAATGTTACTGAGAGAAGTGTGAATGAAGATTAATGTAACTCATGTTTTGATGAGGGAACATGATGAACATAGACTGTATAGGCCAGTTTCAGCTGACGTCATTGTTATTAAAAGCCCGCGTTGCATGCTGGGAAATATTTTGGTTGGAGGCAAGAAACAGGATAGCGTCAAACACAGTGCGTAAACTCGCGTATTTATCCCCGATAATGGTAAATTCCTGCTGCATTATCGGATGCACAAATAGAAGCGCGGAAAAAGGAAAATGTCTTTTTCGTATTCTGAGTGAAAAGAACCGCTAACGGTGAATTAAACGGCTTTCAAACATTCGCAGAGCAAACGTAGAAGATCCAAGCAAACCGTGGACTCCAACAAGTTCAACAACGCATCGAGACTCTTGGAGGTTTTCATCTTTTCTGCTGTGAATGGCCCAGGAGTTTCCACCAAGTCATTGTGGATATCGCCAAAGTGAATATTTGTCCAGGTAGTTGGCGATTCTGACCAGAAATTTGGTTTGGTCCACCTTTTGTCGGGGTTGAAAAGGGTGATTTGGCTCCATCGATGCTTATGACCAATTTCTGGTCAAATCATCTTGGGTCCTCTGCCGTTAGAGTGGATAAATAACCGGGATCAATACCCTTTACGTGCTTTCTCACTCCATCCATCATGTTGAATTAGTGTTTCTTGCCGCCGACCAAAATAATTCCCAGCATGCAACGCGCGCTTTTGTCAACAATGAAACTCGCCTATAGATAAATGGACATAGCTAACCTGCAAGCCACTGCGTTCTAAATTGGAAGTGAGCATGGGTGCACTTCTGGCTCCATCAACTCTAGCTCCAATTGATTTTATGTTGAAAAATGTGACCCCACTTTCTGTAACTCTTGCAGTGAGCCTCATCATTTTGTTTTTAAAATGTTCATATTAACGCGCTCTACATGATCTTGGGGTTTTTATTTGACTGTTTTGTCCGTAAATCAATTCCTATTACTACCGTGTTTTCTCGGCTATTAGACGCGCTCTTAAGCCTATAACCCTATCAAAAAACAACGGCGCGCCCCACAATCCAGAGCGCCCTACACACGAATCCACTCGGATGTCCCAGCACGACTTCAGTAAACTACAAAGCCGCAAACATGCATGGAGCAGACAGCGACCGCACAGCGAAAAACACCCACAGACACACTCATCACTCCACGCCGACGAGGAACGGAACGGAGGAACGAACCAGAAAAAGCGAGTCCAATGTGCCACTTCTAGACACAACTGAACAACTGAGTCACTGCGAACACGCCGACAATCCAGTGGTCCCAGACAGCACCTCCCTACACGCCACAACTGAACAAAGCCCAGAGTCACCGTGAACGAACAAACAAAGTCCCACTGACCCATCCAACTGTTGTGTTTCGTTTAAAGTCCTGGTGCGGTTTATTTGTGAAAAAAATATTCGAAAATAGACCATTTAATGACAGTGCGCCTTATAATCCAGAGCGCCTAATAGCCCGGAAAATACGGTAATATGGAACTTGGCTCCAAATTTGCCCCATATTTGACTGGAGCTGAATGGATGACAACATACTCCCTTAGTCCAGTCTTAAGCCGGGCATACACTGTGCGATTTTTGGCCCTTTTTCAGCCAATTTTTCACTCGTGCGACTGTTTTTGGGATTGGGCCCGAGTTTTCACTTAATCGCGCTTCGTGTAGTAAACATGGGGTAACGAGAACTGAATAATGCCTCACGACAATACCAAACCTGTCTGAAACCCAGTCGCCTCTTGTGAGAGTTTTGCTCTGTCGAAGTAGTTTATATACTGTGAGAACACGAATTGTGAGCTGTGAACTTTTAAACTCTGCGAATTGGTCGTACAGTTTGAGCTGGGGCTGAGTGAAACGATCGAAAATATCGAGCTGTGTATGTCCGGCATTAGTAAAGTCTATATCAGGGGTCTCTAACCTGTAGCTCGGGAGCTACTGATAACTTTCCACCCGATTCCAAATAACTCGCCACGGGATTTCTGAATTACATGTATTGTGCTGAATAAGTCTAATATAATTAATTAAATGCCATTTACCATTATGCGTGTGTCATTTTGATGCCTAACTTTGTGCTCTACTATGGGTAATGGTTTATGTTTTATAGGCATCTGTACCTCATCTCAGGCTCACTGTGGCTCTTATATTTACTCAGTTTCTTGTGACTGCTAAAACTAGTAGCTCTTTGTCCTTTTCGTTTTTTCGGGGTAAAAGGTTGGTCTACTATGGTTATAACATGTTTAAAAGTTCAAATGATATTGCATCTGAATTTCAGGTTCAGGTTAGATTACTGATTTGAATACAAAAAATATTTTACAACACATTTATTTTCTCAAATAGATGTTTAAACGGTCTAAACTTCATATCTTCATTCTCTTCATATTGATATTGATGATATTAATATAGACAGACAGACAGACAGAGTAGAGGGATTCCTTTTGAGAACTACTTCTGAGGCTAAAACTTAGAACTACTTTCTGTACAAGTTTGACTCACCTAAAATAAGGTTTCAAAGCATCCTCATATGTATAACCTGAGCCTGAACCAAAGAGTATTGAAAGATCAGAGAAAGTGTACTCCAATAAAGAGAAATACGGTAACACTTTATAATAACTACACCTTATTTATCCTTAATAAAGCATGAACAAAGACTAATTAATAATGAACAAAGACTTAATTAATAAAGAGTCATGCTTAGTAACTACTTAATTACTGCCTTAATTAGCACTTAACTTGCACTTAATTCACCTGTGCTGTAAAGAGTTACTCATAATTATTTCATACTTAATTACTCATGAACTAACCATTTGAACCAACCATTATATTTAAGTACAAATTTGAGCATTTGTTGATGATTAGTAAGCTATGACAGATTGATTTACTAATAATGCAATGCAACGATAATTCCGGCAGCTATTATCTGTTAGTTACGTCTTTTTGACCCATGCCTCACAGCAAGAAGGTTCTGGGTTCGATCCCCGGGTCGCCCGGGCCTTTCTGTGTGGAGTTTGTATGTTTCTCCCTGAGTCTGGATGAGTTTCCTCCGGGTGCTCTGGTTTCCCCCATCAACCCAAAACATGCTCCAGGTCTCCAAGAACAGTTAATAGTCAAGGTCAGTTAAATACAATCAATTCAATCATTGTGTGTCTTTAGGCAAGACACTTCACCCACATTGCCTAGTATGAAAGTGGTGTGTGTGTGTGAGTGATGGTGGTGGTCGGAGGGACCGATGGCGCCGAGTGGCATGGCAGCTGTGCTTCTGTCAGTGTGCCCCAGGGCATCTGTGGCTACCATCACCAGGGTATAGAGTGAATGAATGAATGCTGAATGAATAATGCTGAATAATGCTCTGTAAAGCGTCTTTGGGGACAGAAAATGTCTGTGAAAAGCGCTATATAAATGAAGACTTACTTACTTACTTACTTACTAAGCATGACTCATTATTAATTAAGTCTTTGTTCATGCTTTCTTAAGGCTAAATAAGGTGTAGTTATTATAAAGTGTTACCAGAAATACTACATAATTCAGACTTTAACTTATTCATCTTTCAAAAATGAAGTAGGAGGGAGTTGTCAGGCTACATCATGTAAAACCCAATAATATATTCATATTATAAACAGAGCGTACTCTCCGTCTTGTATGAAATCATCACTGACCTGCTGCGTGGCGCCCTGCTTCCTGTTGGTCGCCGTGGTCGTGGTGATGTCGCTGATGGAGGGGGCGGAGTCAGAGCGGTTTCCCCCGGCGGCGGCGCTGGACTGGGGCGTCATGGAGGAGGATGGCATGTCCCCCACCAGGCGCGCGCTCCCCTCCACCCGGATGTGCGGGTGTCCCTCGGCGGCCATGTTGAGGATCCTCAGGCCGTTGTAGTACAGCCCCGAGAGCTGCCCCTGGAACATGGCCGACCCGCGCTCGCCCCCGCCCACCCGCACCGTCGTCTGGCTGTTGAAAATGGTCAGCTGACGACCTAGGGCGACGCACACACACAAATCAAACGCACCCAAGGGAGACAGAAAGAGAGAGGGGGGGAGAGAAAGAGAGGGGGGAAAGAGAGAGACACGGAAAAGAAGTAGCAGCGGTCAAAACCAGGCGTACAGTACGATGTGTTTTATCTCTGCGTTAGACAATTCAACACCCCCAAGCCATGGTAAGAGGATGGGACAGATCGAGCATGGCAGAACAAATCGTGGAGAGAAACGTGAAGGGACTAGAGAGAAAACGAGATATAAGAAATATATATAGCTCAAGAGAAGAAACAACAAAAAAGCATTGGAGAAGAGAGGAAGAGGAGGAGTGAGGAGGGACGAGGGAGGGAGAGGAGGATGAAAAAGCAGCAGATGAGAGAGGTCAGAAAAGGGTTGGTAGAGAATTCAAAATGTTATGGAGTTTGTAGACAAGCAGAGACAGATCTGAGTGGTACAGCCCTATGAAACATGCACAGGTTTAAGCTAGCATTGTGTTAAAGGGACTAGAGGCTAATTTAACGCTGAAGTTTAAGACTGAATCTTTTTGTTGTTGTTACATTTTTGTTCAATAAAAAACTATTTCAAATTTACTTTACAATATATTTGAATTTTACTTTGATTACAATGTTTTAGTGAATGCTTTATTGTTTACAATTTGACGATAAGCAGAATTATTACGTCTTAATAAAGCATCTTTTATCAGTGATTCTATTTTTCTGATTTATTCACATTTAATTTCTCCATCGTCCCTTTAACCTGACATTATCAACAATACGTTCACAGGCACTACAGTTTACACAGTATTACACACTACAGCTGCCATTTTAAATACTTAGTTATGATTTAAGTTTTTAGATCGTTAGTTGATGGTGCACAATATAATAATAAACTGCCTGCAAATCTATTTTAAACTGAAACTTTTAATGAATTTTAATCAGGGTTTTTACCTTTGTCGAGTAGCCAATCGTCAACTACTCGACCAAGCCGATAGGGGATTCGCTGTCTGGCGATGGCCAGGCGCTCGTTATCATTGTTGCCTTTAATTTAGAGATGGAAAAAGAGTAGTAATTACATCCAAATGTTACAGGAGCTGGATACAAACAGAAGAGCCATGAAAAGAAAGCAATCGTCCACTCGAGGAAAGGAGAATTCAGCGTCTGGGTTTAAAGTGCGTATGACAGGTTTTGACGATTCTCTAATTTTTTTTTTAGACTTAAATTGGTGTGATTATACCTGTTGTGAATGTAAATTATAGTTTTAAACCAGTCAAGAAACAATTTGTGAAGAGAAGTTGAAAAATATGTTGAAAATTATAGGAAGTAGAGTCTTATTTTTGAGAGTTTCATATTGATGACACCACACTGGGGAGAATTTTGTCCAAAAGTTCGGCCCATTTTACTCAAAAGAAACACATTATTCTTGTTTTCTGATACTTTAAACATGATTTCAAGAAAGTACAAGCGCTTTCTTATAATTTAATCAATCAAATATTAATTCCTGTGCACATTAGAGAAGTTTTCGCCCAGTGCACTACAGAAGTTATGCAATTCCCGAGCGTGATGTCATGTTTTCCAACCAGAAAGTAAAATTTGAAACCTAAAAAATGACCAAACTGGGGGTAAACAAAAGTAAAAATCTTGAGTTAAATCTTACGTACAAGCTGCGTTTTAGTAAAATGAGAAGTCAAACCTGTCATGGGCGCTTTAAGTGTGAGCTGACTGTTGCTCTCTGTTCATTGGCTTTGGTTTAAAACATTTCATTTTAACATAAGCACATCCTGTTACAGTTTAGAGCTACATACACACACACCTCACAACAACTACCATTTAGCATTTTAGCTACGGGCTAAGCTTCGTCGTGTTATATTACCTACTATTACCACTTTATGTCAAAACAACAAAGGAGAAACAAAACAGACACTTTTTACTCTTTTACTTATTTTGACTCTTTAGTTAAACATTTGACTCAGAGTATGACATCTTTTTAAATTATTGTTTGACCAAATGCACCAACTGTTATTATTGTCTTTTAAAACACAACCTGCTCCACTATTTTCATCAATTACCTTTATCACTATTTAACAGCATAACATAACTAGACTAGAGTACAAGTGGCTATTAACCTAACTCACATTTTATGGTTTAAAAAGTCATTTTCATATATATAAGTTCACACAGATTTCATTTCCAACACAGTAAACATAAAACAAAAGCTGCAATTTAAAAACTGCAATATTTGATTAAAAAAATAACATTGATAGGAACAATAATCAGGGAGGGTTGGTTTGAACTTAAAGTGTGTTGTTGTTGTTGTTTGGAGTGTGGGTGGGCGGGGCTTAAGTGGGCGGGGTCACAGTGGGCGAGGCTAGGGTTACCTGAGGGGTAGCGTTCGATGACGGGGAGGTCGTCGAGCTGGAGAGTGGCGTTCCCTCCGCTCCGGGTGAAACGCACGATGTGGTACTTTCCGTCGTTCACAAACTTTGAGCTCTCCTCGATGTTTATGTCGTCCGTGCCGACATTGAAAACCACGCGGATGTTGCCTTTGTCCTAAAACAGATAAAAACGCAATTATTTTATTTCTTTTATTGTTTATTTGAATAGTTCTGTAGTCTTATGCAGGTATGACAGTTAGAGATTCAGTCCACGAGAATTTTAATGAGATTTTAATATACTTTCTATTTAATAAATTGTGACATTCAGTTCACAATTTTGGCTTCACAAGTGTTTTTTTTTTAATGTATTTAAAGGTGCATTGTGTAACTTTTTGGTATAGGGTTTGTCAGTTTCTTGTTTCTATGGATAATATATCATCATTCTGCCAGGAATGTTCCACAGTGTGACATTAAACAGCTGTACCTTACATTTACCGTATTTTTTGGACTATAAGGCGCAATAGCAATATAATGTTGAAGTTTCTTGTCTATTTTCATACATTATAAGGCGCATTAAGCAAAACGAATGGACGACTGGCGCTGCCTCCATGTCTTGGTGAATGTGTATTATGAACGTGAATGTGAGAGGATAATTTAAGTTTCTTTTTTTTATTTCCTAAGAGGATGACTCAAATATACAATGGGTAATAATGTGTTTAATGCAGGTTTGTGCGCATTTGTTTACATTTTACAGAAATGAAACTTAAAACCATATGGCTAATTTGCAACTCTAAGCACTTGTGAGGTCATCTTCTGTCAGACTAAAGGACACGACTCAGTGGAGGTCAGTAAGCACAAGCAGAATTAATACATAAGGTGCACTAAATTATAATGTGCACTGTCGATTTCTGAGAAAATTAAAGAATTTTAAGTGCGCCTTATAGTCCGAAAATAAAATACCTAGAAAAACAGGCATTCTGACTGTGAGCGGGGTTGCCTTTACACAGATCTGACCTGTAACTTGGTCTGTTTTACACATCTAAAATGACAGAAGTTATAAAAATGCAAATGTAATAAAAAAGTTAAAATAAACTGACAGTTGAAGAGCCTGAACCTGATTGATTTTCTCATGTATTTGAGCAAAATAGTGAATATCTTGCCCCAGTACAGACATATTGTATAAGCAGCTATGGAGGTCAAATTATTGTCTGATATACAGGAAGTATGTGTTAGCATGTTAGTTGTTGTTAACTTTACTGTCATGGCAAAACTCTGCAGTGGTTAAGTTAGTTAGGCTTCGTTTATTTTGTCTAATCAAGGAGGAATTTGGCTCGGAGCAGGGAACAGCAGCATTAACATAATGTGCAGATAAAACATAACAAAAGACAAAAAGAAAAACATGTAGAAGTGAACGATGTAGAGTCACTCAGGCTCCACATACCTGCACAATCAGTCTTTGTTGTTAATACATTCAAGGGACTGGGAATACAAACACGTTTTTACATCTGTTAAAGTGAAAGTTATGAATAGCTCTTGTAAACTCATCTTGGTGAATAATTACGAAGCTCTTACTGCAATGCATAAGGTAAGTGAGGAATAAGTTTGGACCACTGCAAACGAACTTGTTGTTTTTCATGTTTTGTTTTGTTTTTTAAGGCAATAAGACTCAGGTAGAGCTCCTTCAGTAAAAAGATTGTAATAATAAAAGTGTCACAGAGATAGAAGTAGGCCATATATTGTCTGCAACAGTGCTTCTCAATTTAGGACCCCCAGAGGAGTCGTGGAATGATTTTAGGGTGTCCCCAGAAGATATGAGGAAAATTGAAAATGTATGCAAGAATATTAAACAAGGCTTCACACCCTGCAGATTCATATTCACTATTTTACTGCTGTGTGGGTAATATTTTTTGTGTTTGTGGGTTAAGAAGGAAACAGGCTGAGCTCCACTGAGCTACATGATAAGATTAAAATCGTTGTTGGGAAGATATAACTTGAATTAAGGATGGGCATGATGGGTCGACTAATAGATAATTGATCATTAAGAATTTCGTCAAGCACGTTCATTTTTCATCGACAAAACTAATGTAGGTTGCTGAGCACAGTGTAGCATAAGGAGACGAGGCTGAGTCTGACAGTGAGTGTGTTTACAGCACATTAGTGTCCCGGGTATGATCGGGTTTTTTTAGTGTCCCGGTTTTGTCATGGTGCATGTAAACGCAATATCACAGTTACTGCAACATAAAGTTGAGTCACATGTGTCCAAAAGACAAACACTTATCAGTCTTTTCATCACAACAGTAGCCAAAATAAATAAAGAGACCAACAAAATAAAGTGAGTGAAATGGCTGTTAAATAAAGAGCTGCGCTAAGAGCAGAGTTTATAGTTTATGCAAATGAGTCATGTGGTTTCTGTAAAATGTAAACAAATGTGTTAAAGCTGCATTAAACACATTATAATGTCAAACAGGCTGATGTGGTTCTATAGTGGTTATGATTTATATGTTATAAAGTTCAGCTTATTTATGCAGATTAGTAATAGTAATAATAATGATGATCATTTTAATATAAACAACTTTAATGATTAATAGATAATGGAAAGTTAATTCTCTGAACAATCGATTAAGAAAGTTTAATTGAATGCCCATCCCTAACTTGAATATTTGACAGAGCAGGGGCCCCTAACCACTGAGACAGGGCCCAAAACTGCTCCGCGGGCCATCAAGAGTGCCCAGAGAAAAAACATTATACATCTTTGTGTAATACAAATGTGTTTTATTGTCAGCTGCCATTTCCTTGTGTTTTACTATGAAAATATTGTGCAACTTAACTTAATAATTAACATAAAAAATAAGACATTATTTTAAACATTAAACATAATGGAGATAACTGGCTGAGAGTGGTTTAAAAACATTATATTTACTGCAATGTGTGTTAATTTTTTTTTTTAGGTCGATGTAATTTAAAGGACCAATTTTACCCTATTTTTTGATCAAAATTATAATGTTTCCTCATCACAAACAGACCTGGAGTTGTGTTTTGTTTCATTCACACATGTTTAACACACAAATCCTGCATATTTAATTCTTCTCTCAAACAGAAAACACTCTGTTCCACCTTGCGATGTCGTGGTAATAGAGCTCTAACTGTGTTTTTAAACTCCATACTCCTTCACTAGAATCATCTGGATGATTTTAGCTCTGGAACAAGGTGTAACAGAGTATTTTGACCTTGGAGATGTAGCCAGACTAATAAACCTGGATCTCAAACATGTGTGAATGTAACAAAACACAACTCCTGATATGTTTTTGAGGAGGGAACAACATTACGACAGGGCTAAAAGCTCACAAAAATCCATTTTGCGTGATACAGGACCTTTAAAAGTCTGTCACAACATCACTTAATTCACAACCAATACCCGTCCGGAGCGGAATTACATTTTGCTGTTTCATTAAATCCTGTCAAAATAACAACTACAAACCCATTAGTACATGTACTTTCACATTATGATGGATGGCCTGTGTGTCGCGTTCGGAAATATGCATTAGGAACTTTCGCCTTTAGCTAAAACAGTGAAATTATGCTTGTTTTCGCTTCTATTCATTCCGCTGCTGCCAGGAGACCATTACTATACATAACATTGTCCCGGAGAGCTGCCTCAGCGATATTAAAATACATTGTCATCAACATGCAAAGAGACCGCACTCTGCTTTCTAAAAATACAACAGTTATAATGGCGTTTTTTTATACAGGCAGTGGAGAGGACCTGTCTATTTACAGATACAGGGAGCAAAATGTCATATAAGCAACACATTTACTGTCACTGCCGCTTGTCTCTGGGTCCAGCTGGAATATTTTTCTACAATCAAAAGATATATACTGGTTTGTAACACACTGACACCATGTACGATGCTTTTTTGTACATAACCAAGAATAATTTGACAATATATTCATTTTCATGTGGAGCCAGATTGTGTTTTAGTGTAAAAATGTGACATAAGGTTGCGCTTTTATTTATAACTAATTAGAGCGGAAAATCACACGAGAACTCGCAGGCTTTCTCATTTTTTAATACTGCGCAGTTCAAAGACTTAATTACTCGATCAAATACAGCGACGAATTCCTTTGATTTTAGGAAATTAACTGTACTGTGAATATTTTTAATGAAGTTGTAACTGTGCCAGAATATAGTAGGTGAAAACTATTATTCTGAATATGTAGATACTTTCCAAAACTACTACTTACGACATATAGGCATGCACCAATTCGATACTGGTATCGAATATCAGCGGCAATAGCTGGATCAAATACTGGCGTCCAAATATCAGTTCAGTCAACATCTTGTTCGTGAACATAAAATGGTGTGATAAGACTATTTACTGGTACTTGGTATCGGATATCAGCAGATACTTTAGGCTGAAGTACGTCTGTCTGTGTTGTCATGTTTTTTTGGGTTGTTTCGGCACTTCACTTTTGGGGTCCAAACAAACCTCAGTGCTGCTCTGTGATTGTCCACCCACCCAATTAAACGTACAGCGGGCGCACTCCAAGATTCTTGTGAGTTTGTAACTCACAAATATTGTGCAAAACTATCTTGGGTGGTCACACCAGCTTGTCAAAGTCTGACCCCGTCAGATCTCAGAAGCTCAGCAGGGCTGGGCCTGGTTAGTACTTGGATGGGAGACCGCTGAGAAAATCAGGTACCACAGGGGGGCGCCAGTGGCAAAAACTGTTATTGTGTCCTTAGCCTAGACACTTCATCCACATTGTCTTGTATGAAAGTGGTGCGTGTGTGATGGTGGTGGTTAGAGGAGTCAATGGAGCAGATTGGTAGCCACGCTTCCTTCAGTCTGCCCCAAGGCAGCTGTGGCTACAACAGTAGCTTATCACCACTGAGTGTGTTGTGACTGAATAATGCTCTGTAAAGAGTCTTTGTGAAAAGCACTATACAAATATAAACTTACTTAACTCACCATCTTGCTGCACAAGACTAGAAAAGATGGATCAGTGCATCCCTAATGACTTATGTAGATTTAACATTAAAGTCTTATTCACTGACTTCCTTTTCCAAACTGTAGATCTGAAAATTCTGAAAGATCTCTAACACATTAAAACGTTGTATAAAAAATGTAAAATGGTGTTAATGTTTTTTTTTCCCATTGGCCTTAAAGTGCTCTCATTTGCTAGAGGAACTCTTTACTACTTTAAGTGTATTTAGTCATTTTAGTATTTGTATTTAGCCAACGTTTCATTTTATTTGATTCTTTGTTTGATTTCCTAACTACAGCCTTTCAAATGATGCTCAAATAAACCCCTTACTATCTGCAGCTGTAGGTAGTCTCCCAGTCCTGACGCACTATCCACTCTCAGGAGGATGGCGTGTTTTTGTTGGGTGCTGAAGCCCAGAGCCAGGCGGTCCGCTCGGGTGCTGGGGCGCTCGTTCGGGGGCCAAGTGTAGATCACCATTCCCCCGTCACGTCCGAAGATGTAAGTGGTACCAGCTGGAGAGAGAAACACAAGTATTTAATAGAATCTAGGGTTGTCCAGAGTATAGAAAGTTAGATATTCATTTGAGCAGGTATTGATACTAAAAAAGTCACATTTACAGGACAGATACAAGGCCACATGACAATATAAAAGAAAGTACTGTGATTAATGTTGAAAATCACATTCTGTTGTCTAAATTGAGTGTTTTTTTTTATTTTTTTTTATAAAGTCTATTTCTTAATACACTGACAACACTAATACAAGAGGAATCACTATTCTCATTACAAGACAAAAAAAAACATAAAAAACCTTAACAGTGCACTATGTAACTTTTCTAGAATGTTCAAAATTATGATATTAATGAGTTAAATCTTGATGTAAACAAGAAGATTCAACCAGGCCAGGTAACAGGTCAGATCTATGGAGAGACGACCCTCCTTAAAATAAAAATTAATGTTTTTTAATTAAAATTGTTGAGCAAGAAAACGCCTGTAATTGAATTAAGGCTAGACAGAAAAGTTGCATAATACACCTTTAAGCAAATACTGTTCATTCATATTTCTAATTACAGTTGTAGTAAAAGTAGTAGTAGTAGTAGTAGTAGTAGTAGTAGTAGTAGCAAAACATTACTTGAATAACTATAATCACTGTATGAAATTATATAGCGAAAAATGTACAATTCCAATCAAAAAAAGTACAATCCACCACAAAGATTACTACTATTACTACTACAATTAATTTTATAACAATATTACATGTACATCTATTATTACTGCAACTTATACTACTAGTACTATATTGATTTTAATACTAGTGTTACTACTGCTACTACTAAAATTACTGCTATTATTGGTGTAACGACAGAAAGTACACTCGCGTTGCAGACACATTCATAATTACATAATCGAAAAACCTGCTGGTGACATCTGAATATACATAAGCACAGGAGCTGTCTGTTAAAGTGCATTTCTTTGTGTTTCTCTGTGAGCTCGTCAGAATCGACAGATGCCAGTGCCCTCCCGTGGCAGCTCTGACTAAATACACTGACATTGAGTGATGGGAGAAACACTCTGTTACCTGCATCAAGATTCAGTCCATTTAACATCACAGTTTTTACTATTATACTGCTAATATATCATTAACGTGTTTATTCTGTTCTTTTTTCAGGCGAACACACTTTAACACTTTTTGATTCAGGCCTTAATTGTGTGTTACCATGACAACTTAAGCCCTCTGTAAAAGAGTTAGTGATAATACCTAAAACAGTTCATGTTATTTCAGCTTTTCACAATAGGAAAGGTTTGGTACTTGGGATGTAACAATAACCGAAATATCGTGATATCGTATTGTCCAAAAGTCTCACAATAATATCGTGGGCTGTCACAATATATCGAATCACAAGTTTCTTTGGTTTCATGGTTTTATAGAAGCAACAGCCAGAGGTGGGACCAAGTCATCGTTTTGCAAGTCTCAAGTAAGTCTCAAGTCTTTGACCTCAAATCTGAATCAAGTCCCAAGTTAAATACAGGCAAGTCCGAGTCAAGTCCCAAGTCAAATACAGGCAAGTCCAAGTCAAGTCTCGAGTCACTGGCCCATAAGTCCAAGTCAAGTCCAAGTCGTCCGCTTAGAGCTTCAAGTCATTACAAGTCTTTAAACCAAAGCACCAAATACATCTTAGATTTTTGCAGTTTATATGAATTTTAAGATAAATTGTACTTATAAAGTCATAGTGTATTTATATTTCAGTATTTATAGAGTATGTAAGAATTGTTTTCCTTTTAAAATGTCTTGACAAGATGTGAATCATTACAGTCAGAACACAGAATTCACACAATTCAGATTTAAAAGTGCTTCTCAAGTCACAGGCCTCAAGTCTAAGTCAAATCCCAAGTCACTGACCTTCAAATCCAAGTTGAGTCCCAAGTCCATTTTATCAAGTCAAGTCTCAAGAACTAAAAATAGTGACTCCAGTCTGACTCGAGTCCAAGTCACGACTTGCAAGTCCCCACCTCTGGCAACAGCTTATAAACATAGGGAACGACCTATCCCATGATTCATTTCAGCGCAGACAACATGAAGAAATATGTTTTTGAACTGGATTCTTGGGATTATGATGGAAATAATTCACACCAAAATCGTATATACAAAATATTATATTGTAATGTGTGAGCTACTGTGTCCAAATAATTTCCCTTGCAAATCAATAAAGATTGTCTAAGTCTAATTTAGTATTTTAATATTCTTAATTTACTATAAAGCATTTTGTGATGTCTCTTGTCTATGAGAGGCGCCAAAGAAATAATCACAGAAATTCTGATTACTAAAAATGTGTCTATTGAAGCTATAAACTGAATAAAAAAGTGGACTAAGTGAGCATGATGTAACGTTCGGCGCCACTCAAAAGAAGTTTGAGGTGCTAAGGGTTACAGGAGCAAATTTGACAGACAAAATAGCGAAAACAAACCCCACCAAGATCACATAGTTTGGGTTAATACAAACACATTAAGACCAAACGAGGCTCACAACAGCAGTTACAGAGAAGGAGACGACAATATTCAAATGTAAGTCAATGGGAGCCAGGGTCAGAAGAAAAGCTGCGTACAAACTTCCTGTTGAGCTATGTCCACTTTATACACACTCAATGATTGAATTCGAGGATTTTATCACAATTGCAAATGTTTTCCACTTGTCCTTTACCGTTTTATTCAAATACTAAAATATTCCATTCTGATTTATGCACAAGGACCACTCACTCCTCTCATCTCACTCTAACCTTTGCAAAGTGTCTCCACTACAGTTTCCGGGGGTATTCAAATAAACAAAAAAGTATCACATCATGAGGCACAATCTAATACATGAATAAATTAAAGGATTTAAGCAAAATGTGTCTTGCCCCAGTAGATTTATTGTATAAGAAGCTCTTGAGGTCAAACTAGGTTTGCTGTGTACTGTCTACATCTAATTATAAAGCATTTTTGTATGAATATCAGGAAGTATGTGGATAGCATGCTAGTTGCTGTTAGAGCTTTACATCAAAACTCAAAAATCTAAACTCCACTCTGGTCCATGAGGAAAACTGCTTATAAAATCATTGCGGTGAATAATTATGATGCTCTGAAAACAAATGTAAGTAAGGACTAAGAATAACTAGTGATGTTTTTCCATGTTTTTAAGACAAAAATATTAGAAAAAATGACTATTGAATGTAAAAATATATCATGGATGAAACTGAAATGTTATAAATACTACTACTATGACTGCCACTACTACAATTACTACTAAGACTACGGCCACTACACCCTACTTCAACTCAAAAATTGGATAAGAAAATTTAAGAAAATTGAACAATAAGATTTTGAGATTTTGAGACCACTCCCGTTGCTCTAGCTCAGGCATGTCAAAACTATGGCCTGGGGGCCAAATGTGGCCCTCAGACAAGTTTTTCTTGGCCCTCAGACTTCCAGGTGAATTGGCCCAAATGACCTTGCATCAATTAAAAAATAACTTTTGCAAGTTTTTTGAAAATCGACCTTGATAAAGTGAATATTTCATATTTAGTGTGTGGTTTTAAGGATCTTAGCATGAATGAAGTCTGATGGTTCATTCTAACACGTTAAACATGCACAGATTTCAATTATTCCCTGTACTGAGCATTAGTCTACGGCCCTCGATCGGCCTCTGCTTCGTCTGTGTTTAGATATGTGGCCCTTGATGAAAAAAGTTTGGACACCCCTGCTCTAGTTCCATCCTTCGTGGAGTTATGGCCAAAAACGCATTTTTGACCGTGGTTACCTTGACCTTCAAGTGACCTTGACCGGTTTCAACCTGTAACGTCCAGTGCACCAGTTATGTGTGTCCCAACTTGTGTGATGATTGGGTGAATATTTTAGGCCGCAAATGTTTCAGAAATTGCCGATCCTTTATAATAGCATGACCTTTCAAATGACGTGTGTGACCTCAAATGACCTCGGATCGTCACCAAACTTTTTTTTTTTCACGGCATCGGGCACGAGGGCTGGACCCACGTACCAAATCTGGTGACAGTCGGTCCATAAATGGCGGAATTATTGCAGGTGGACAGACACACACAGACACACAGGGTCAATACAAAACCTTGTCAACCCATCGGGAACCAGGTAAAAGCAAACAAAAAAAGTTGTACTGTACACAGATACAACACTGAAACCAAAATAAAATAGTTTATCTCTCTTATATTGAACAATAACACAGTCAAAACAGTGTAACAGGTGTGTAATCTCCTCACCGTCGTTACAGAGCGGTCCTGCGTACGACGTCATGCTGCAGTCACAGGTGAAGCCCTCCCACTGCTGTAAACACACGCCCTGGTTGGAGCACGAGTCCTCCTGACACGTCGTACTGGGGCCTGTAGGGGGCAGAGGAGAGCAGAGGTAAGACACGGACCAGTTTAAACCAGATAAGACGGGGTATTTTCAATTTGTGCAGAGCCCGGAGAAATCAGGACAAGATAAGATTCATAGGAGAAAGTCTGGAGAAGGCACCCATGGGACCTTATGTAACCTGAGATACAAGATGAGACTTTGTGGATAAAAATATTGCAGGAAATAAGTAAGTAATAGTTCAAATCCTGACCAGCATTGAGTACTGTTGGTGTGTTCATGAGCAAGGCATTCATCTAGGTATTTGGACCCCACTTTAGTCTCTGTATCATATATTCACTGTCCTTCCTCTGTTCTATCTGTTTATCTTTTTTTTTTTTTTAACAGGAAAAAGTGTGAAAAACATGTAAAAAAGTGTGAAAAACATGTGAAAAACTGTGAAAAACATGTAATAATGTGTGAAAAACATGAAAAATGTGTGAAAAGTATCTTCAAATTTGAACTCATTTTCTAAATCCTTCTACAAAATATGATACAGTTTACAAAATACAAATTTGTTTGTGCAATTTGTGCAACAGTATTTCATTAGATTTGCCTTATATAAGCAATTATAATGTTGAAATTTCCACTGCAAAAAATACCGAAAGTAAAAAAAAAAAAAACATGCAGGTGAAGTGGAGTGAATGGGTTGGGAACAGGAAAAAATAAATTAAACAAACAATTTTCAAGTTATGTTTCAAATATTGCAATCTCAATACTCCAATACCAATCACCATGTCTTGTGTTAAAGGCAGAAGTGGGACCAAGTCTTTGTTTACAAGTTTCAAGTAAATTAAAAGTCTTTGACCTCAAGTCCGAGTCAAGTCCCAAGTCAAATACAGGCAAGTCCAAGTCGAGTCTCGAGTCACTGGCCCATAAGTCCAAGTCAAGTCCAAGTCGTCTGCTTTGAGCTTCAAGTAATTTCAAGTCTTTAAACCAAAGCACCAAATATAGCTTAGATTTTTGCAATTTATTTGAATTTTAAACTAAATTGTACTTAAAAAGTCCTGCTATGGTATGTGAGTATTTATATAAGAATTGTAGAAAGGCAAACTTTTCCTTTTTAAACGTCTTGACAAGATCTTAGTGTGAATCAGTACAGTCAGAATAGAAAGAATTCAGATTTAAAAATCCAATTATTTTGTCATGTGTCTGCACTGAAATGGAAGGATCATTTGTACTGCATATTAGTGTATTGTACTGTATATTACTGAAATGCACTGTATATTACTGTATTGTACTTTATATTACTGCATATGACTGTATTGAACTGTACTGTACTGTACATTACATATACATACAACTCGTTTATGTAAAATTTTATATATTTTATATTTGTGTTAGTGTTTCATTATGTTGTGTTTCATGCTGTAAAGCACTTTGGTGCAACTTGTTATGGTTGTTTTAAATGTGCTACATAAATAAAATGACTTGACTTGACTACATTACTGTATTGTACTGTATATTACTGTGTTGTACTGTGTATTACTGTAGTACTTTTGAGGAGACCACATCACAGTATTTCAGTTTCATCCAAAGTAACAAACACAGAGGTGTAAAATTAAACACTGCATTTATCAACTGTAAAGAGAAAAGTATTTTCTAAAAACATATATTTTTTAGAAGATGCTTCAAGTCTTCTCAAGTCACAGGCCTTAAGTCCGAGTCAAGTCCCAAGTCACTGAACTTCAAGTCCAAGTCAAGTCCTACATCTAAGTCTCAAGTCCTAAAAATAGTCACAACTTGCAAGTCCCACCTCTGGTTAAAGATGCGCTGTGCAACTTTTTGGTTGGAGGTTCGTCACCTGCCTGTTTCCATGGAGAGGACATTGCTCTGCCTGAAAAGTTCCACAGTATGACATTAAACAGCTCCACTTTACATTTATTAAATTACAGCTGGTTGTAGAGCTCAAAAATACTTAAAAAATACATGGTGTGGTCTCCATGAAGATAGACAAGTTTAATGCCATACTGCGAAACATTCCAGACAAAGAAATAACATCTCTATGGAGGAAAGCCTTTGACAGACCCTCCACCGGAAAAGTTACACAGTGCACCTTTAATAAACACACACAAGTCTATGGCATTAAAATAAAAGTATTGAGTATTGAATTTCACTAAGGGCTCACACAACATGCTACAGTTCAAGTATGGGCTCTGCTATTGTCACTACGGTGGCTGGGAGAGGACATTTCACCTCAGAGATTTGGGTTTTGAAGGACTGGAATCCACAACACGTAAATAAAGAAATACTAAGGGATTCTGGGCACGTTTTTTGTATTTTTCTCATGCAAAGATATACCTTGCAAGTCAGCTTTCATCAATGAAACTTAGTCAGCCAAAATAAAAAAGCAAACAAGCCGGTTAGATGGTTAGTCAATGCAGAAGAGATGGGACAGACAGCAACACAGATAGACAAAAAACGTATATATGTGGTAAAAAATAAAACAGCAAAATAAAACGCCATAAGCAGTTAGTGAGTTAATTTCAAAATAAAAGCATGGGTTGAATGGGAAACACTTGAGAAGCAAAAAAGTGCGAATGAATTTAAGAGAAGAACAAATTAAAGGGCCCATTTTACACTATTTTCTGATCTATGTTATAATAAAATGTTGTTTCCTCATCACAAACAGACCAGGAATTGTGTTTTGTTTCATTCACGCATGTTTAACTCATAAAAAGTTCTTCTCTCAGACTAATACTAAAGTGTTACTCAAACATGTGTGAATGAAACAAAACACAACTCCAGGTCTGTTTTTGATGAGAAAACAGCATTATAACATGGTTTAAAGCTCATAAGAGTCAATTATGAGTCAATTTGAGTTTTTTGGAGACCCATGTCGGCCTGCACCTGCGCAGTACAGCACCACACTCACCCATTAAACTGTGATTATATCAAAGTTAAACCCACACCCGCCCAGACCCGTTAACATCCTACCCGTTACCCACTCATGCCCGTGATAAACAACACACAAATTAAAAGCATTTTAACTGAAGCATCCATCAGAACATGAATTGAAAAGTTACGACTTTAAGAATTACAATCACGAAATGAAATAAAACGGTTAAACTTTCTTCAGTACGAATATGAAATCACAGACGTGACTCGACTGTCATCGCATTATTTACTGAGCAGAAGAATCACACCATGGACTAAACCAAGACTAAACCAGGACTTACCCAGGACTAACCCAGGACTAACCCAGGACTGATTCCAGGATTGAACCAGGATGACTAAACTAGGACCAAACTAGGACTAAAACAGGACTAGAACAAGACTAAACCAGAACTGAACCAGGACTCACTGTCGGGAGCTCCACCCCGCACGGAGGTAAGTGCAGCCGTCACTCGATCACACTTTGCGGGCTTCCTGCTCCGTTGTCTCGGGGTTCTCTCTCTTAAATCCAAGATCTGGTAGACCTGGTTTTAGTTCTGGTTTAATTCTGGTTTAGACCTGGTTTAGATATTGTTTAGACCTGGTTTTAGTTCTGGTTTAATTCTGGTTTAGACCTGGTTTAGACCTGGTTTAGACCTGGTTTTAGACCTGGTTTAGACCTGTTTTAGACCTTGTTTAGACCTGGTTTTAGTTCTGGTTTAGACCTGGTTTAGACCAGGTTTAGACCTGGTTTAGACCTGTTTTAGACCTTGTTTAGACCAGGTTTAGACCTGGTTTAGACCTGGTTTAGACCTGGTTTTAGTTCTGGTTTAATTCTGGTTTAGACCTAGTTTAGACCTGGTTTAGACCTGGTTTAGACCTGGTTTTAGACTTGGTTTAGACCTGGTTTTAGACTTGGTTTTTTAGACCTGGTTTTAGACCTGGTTTAGAACTGGTTTAGACCTTGTTTAGACCTGGTTTTAGTTCTGGTTTAATTCCGGCTTAGACCTGGTTTAGACCTGGTTTAGACCTGGTTTTAGACCTGGTTTAGACCTGGTTTAGACCTGGTTTAGACCTGGTTTGACCTTGTTTAGACCTGGTTTTAGTTCTGGTTTAATTTTGGTTTAGACCTGGTTTAGACCTGGTTTTAGACCTGGTTTAGACCTGGTTTAGACCTGGTTTTAGACCTGGTTTAGACCTGGTTTAGACCTGGTTTAGACCTGATTTTAGACCTGGTTTTAGACCTGGTTTAGACCTGGTTTAGACCTTGTTTAGACCTGGTTTTAGTTCTGGTTTAATTTTGGTTTAGACCTGGTTTAGTCCTGGTGTAGTCTTGGTTTAGTCCTGATTTAGACCGGACCCACCCGTGTTTAATTACTACCCACCCGTAAAATTCCAGAACGTTCAAAGCCGTGTGACCCGCGTTACCCGACCCAGTGCAGGACTCTGTCTTGCAATGGTGAAAATGTTAAATTAAACTTGAATTAGACTCTGGGCTGTTTAAAGATGTTGGTATTAGACTTTTATGGGGCATTTACAGCTAATGCGTAATGTATTTAGATCACTAGATTACTCAAACATGCATATTCAGGCATATTTTTTGACGAGGGAACATTTTTATAACACGGCAGAAAGCTCCAGGATGTTGCATGATGCTCCTCTTTATGTAAGATCACGGGTCAATTCATATTCCAATCTTTTCTCATTAGATCCAGCGGGAGATTAGGTCCCATCTTACAATGATATAGAGCTTTAATAAAACTGTAATTACAGCAGCGCGATTAATCAAAGTTTAGTCAATTACAATGATGCTGTAATAAAAATAATAATTACTTTAGTTCTGAATTACACGGACACTTGCCTAATCTCCAGCGGCGTTTAAAACATGAATAAAACAGCATTAGTAATAAAACTCATATATTGTATAGTTCCTCTACACACTAACTTTTGACAGTATTTAAGTTATTTTTTCAAACAATAATGATTTCAGATGTTACTCAATTAATCTATATTAGGATTTTTTCTGTAATTTCCCGCACAAGTTTTAATAAATTCATTCAATCATCTCTCCTCTGTTAATTCTCTTTAGAAATGACAACAGCCTACGCAGCGATTTCAGAATGAGGAAAAATTAAGACTATTATTATAGCGATTGATCATTTAAAACAAAATATTAGATCTTTTTTCAATTAAGAAAGCGATGATATTGTTGCTTATTACAAAAAGCTGAGCCCTTAGCAAGTCGTTATTACAAAATGTTACCGGTAAAAGACAAAATAAAAACATTAAAACCACAAATGTTGAAGCTTATCTGTGTTTGTTAAGGACAGGCTCCACAAATTTGCCACATTAATCTTGTGTCATAAATTCCTTTCAATTGACAATTAAGTTTGGATTTGAATAATGGCACCACTGTCTGAAGCTGCTGTGACAAAATTATTCAACTTTTGTTTGCTTATTTGTACAGACAGAAAAGGCATTGAACTTCGTGGCGGTTTTTGTTTCACGTGCACAGGTCCAGTAATTACGGAGACATTAATCCTAAAAAAACAGGTCGACAAATCTGCAATCTGGTAATTAAACAGCAAATCCAAATATAGAGATCTGATCTGTCCTCCAGCTCAGTTTTTAAGTTTCTATATTACACAAAACTGATTCTTGTGAGCTTTAAGTCATGTTATAATGTTGTTATTTCCTCAAAAACAGACCTGGAGCTGTGTTTTGTTTCATTCACACGTGTTTGAGTAACTCTTTATTATTAAGGCTGAGTTATACTTCTGCGTCGACTCAAGGCACAGCGCCTTTTCTCCGTTGTTTTTTGATTTATGGATCTGCGTCGAGGTCTATGCGCCTCAAAGTAATTCACAGTCATAACACTAGGGGGCGAGGATTTAAAAATGGTGTTTGTGTTTACAAAAAGAAACGGGAAGGCGGGGTACCGGAAATGTATGTACGCGTAGTTAGAACATTTCAGAGGTGCATGTCGGTTGACTCAGACTCTCTGCGTCGCGACACAGATGATTTTATGACCATAAATGACAATAAATTGAGTTTAAGTCTGTCTGCATCTCCAAAACTCAAAATGCTCTGTTCCACCTTGTGATGTCATGTAGTGGTACTTTTGGTAACACTTTATTTTAGGGTGCACTTATTAACATCTAAGTACCTGCTAATTAACATACTATGGATGGTTAATTTGTCATTAATTAGCATTTATTCAGCCCTTATTAATGTCTTAAATCCCAAAAGCTTATTCTGTCAATAGTTAGACATTTACAAACACTTTCCTATTAATACACTCCTTATTACTGCGCAAAATACAGGCTTAGACAAAAATACATTGAAAGTACTTTATAAATACTAACAAAGGTGTAATTAAGCACTTATTATGCACTATTAACTAGCTCTTAATATGTGGTCCCTAATCTAAAGTGTTACCAAATAAAGTGTTACTACTTTTTAAGAGAACAGCTACCTTTTAACTTTTGTTCAATCGGGAGCAGGGATGTGACAATGACCGAAATATCGTGATATTGTATTGTTAAGGTTTTCACAATAATATCGTGGACCATCACAATATATCGAATCATAAGTCTCTCTGCTTAAATGAAGAGTTATGGCGCAGCAGTAGTTAAAAAAGACAGATTGAACTAGATAGACCATGATCCTTTACTCCATTTCAGTGTAGACTACAAGAAGAAATAACAATTCTAAACACTTTTAAGTCTTAGTTCTTTGGATTAACAGCCCCCACAGTGGAGAGTTTTAAGTCTCGTCTTAAGACCCACTTTTATTCTCTGGCTTTTAACACCGCGTGAGTTGTGTGGTCCTCTGTGTTTTTTACTTATTTATTTATTTTTATTGTATTTTTATTTATTTATTGCTATTCTATGATCTTGCTCTTATTTTATTTTACTGCTTTTATTATTTTAAGACTAGCATGATTATTTTAGTAGTTTATTTTATCTTTTTATTATTGTTGTTATGTGTTATTATGTATTTGTGCAGCACTTTGGAAACTGTTTGTTTGTGAAATGTGCTACAGAAAATAAAGTGGATTGGATTGGATTAAGTAAAATATTTGCCTCCTCAAAATATCACAATAATATCTTACTGTGAGATGTATATTGTGAAAATATCGTCCAGAGAGATTTGGATATTCTTACATCCCCAATCGCGAGCTTTCCCACAATATCGCAATAAATATTGTAACGTGAGGTTCATACCGTGATGATATCGTATCGGGAGACTTAGATATCTTTACACCCCTAGTAGAGATTTGAAATGATTCTAGTGTAGATGTATGAAGCTTAACAACACAGTGGAGCACTTCCTGTATTACCAAATGACATGTTCACGTTCATATGTTTTTCAAATATGCCTAAATATGCAGGGTTTCTGTGTTAAACATGTGTGAATGAAACAAAACACAACTCCTGATCTGTTTGTGATGAGGAAACAACATCACAACTTAAATCAGACAATAGTGTAATATGGGCCCTTTAAAGTTTAGGGATTATAAAAAGTGAAATCTGAACCGAACTTATTATCTGGAAGTATATTTTACCTTCACAGCCCCTCTCCACTTGTCCCACGGTGGCCAAGGCGTCGGCGAGGAGGTCCGGCAGGCGTCCGTTCAGATCCACGGTGGCGAGGCAGCCCTGGAAACCCTCCCGGGAGTGGACCAGTTTGGGCAGGTCCCGGTACATCTCCTTGGAAACGCCTCCGATGTACAAATCACCTGTGGGACGATAAAACTTCACATTATTGAATAGGCACAATTAGAAAATCACAAACACTGCAGTTTTTTAAGTACAGTCACTTATTCTGCAAAAAAACTGCTAACGCTGTAGTTTAGATCTGAACAAACAACTTCTGAAATGTGATTCTTGGTTTTATTCTGTTATTTGCCAGTTCATATTTGAGTGTTTTTGTGACTTCGTCTGGATGCATTTAAAGGTCCAACAACACGCAAAACAGACTCTGGTGAGCTTGAAGTGATGTTATCATGTTCTTACCTCATCAAAAAACATACCTAGAGTTGTGTTTTTTTTCAATCACACATGTTTGAGTAATCTTTTAAACGCTCTGTTCCACCTTGTGATGTCATGAACAAAAAACAGAACGAAACCAGAACTAAAACCAGGTCTAAACCAGGTGTTAATCAGGTCTAAACCAGAACTAAAACCATAACTAAACCAGAATGAAAACAAAACTAAAACCAGGTCTAAACCAGAACTAAACCAAAACTAAAACCAGATCTAAACCAGAATTAAACCAGAACTAAACCAGAACTAAAACTAGGTCTAAACCAGGTCTAAACCAGGTCTAAACCAGAATTAAAGTAGAACTAAAACCAGGTCTAAACCAGAACTAAAACCAGGTCTAAGCCAGAATTAAACCAGGACTAAACCAGAATGAAAACAAAACTAAAACCAGGTCTAAACCAGAACTAAACCAAAACTAAAACCAGGACTAAACCAGAACTAAAACCAGGTCTAAAACAGGTCTAAACCAGAACTAAAACCAGGTCTAACCCAGGTCTAAACCAGAACTAAAACCAGGTCTAAACCAGGTCTAAACCAGAACTAAAACCAGGTCTAAAACAGGTCTAAACCAGAATTAAACCAAAATTAAAACCAGGACAAAAAAAAAAAAAGGTTGGGGACTACTGAGTTAAAGTGCATGAAAACACAGTGGGGCTCTTCCTGTATTACCACATGACATCACAAGGTGGAACAGGGTGTTTTTAGCTTGACAGAAGAACTCAGCCTAAATATGCACTTACGATTTGTGAGTTAAACTTGTGTGAATGAAACAAAACACTAGTCCAGGTCTGTTTTTGACGAGGAAACAACAAAGATCAGATCAGAAAACAGCCTCATATGGGCCCGTTAAAAATAATATGTGAAATTAAATCTCAAATCTGATCACAAATCTTCGATCTTCATTAAACGTCTGAACTTCAAACAAACTTATATCCTCGTATAAAATAAAAAAGCTAGTTGGAAATGTTGAATAATATAAGAAAATATGGGAGAAACAGGACTTATTTAATTTAACTGAAACTACTTTCTTCAATATTTTTCCTTCGTGTAATCGATTTCGGACTCTTGGTCATTTTCTCGGTGAACGACTTAAAGATTAACTTCCTGCTCGTGATCAAAGATGCGGCGAAGCGAGGCGGCCATTTTGTCAGCCCCTAATGACTATTGTCACTATTGATAATCGCAGTGATTAGTTTCTCTATTAATCAATTAGTCATTTCGCAGAAGTGTCAGAGGAGTTCATGTGAGAAATAGCTCTGCAAATGCAAGCCAAAGCTATTATACAGTTAGTTATGTCGGATACTATACGCATAAATTAGCATTAAATTACAAGAAAATACTATATGTTTTCTCTGTTTGCTCAGTTAGAAATCCAGGCTTAATTATTATGCATTTTATAGTGTAACATTTCCCTAGATATACACTATGAATGAATTTAGAGTAAGCTGGCTACTATACATACTTAATTCATAAAAAATAAAATAAAATCACAAATTCTAAGTAGTAAATGCAAAAAAACATTGATTACTAAACAAATTTTGGGGTTTCATGGCTATTATAATGGTATAATCTAAGTATAAAAGTGAGTATCTTTGTTTTGTTTCATTCACGCAACCCAAAACACAAAACTTGGCATATTTTTATTATTTATTTTTCCCTGTTCCACCTTGTGATGTCATGTGGTAATACAGAAAGTGCTCCACTGTGTTTTCAAACATTACCATATTTTTCGGACTATAAGTCGCGCTTTTTTCATGGTTTGGGTGTTTCCTGCGACTTATACTCCGGTGCGACTTATATATTAAACTTTTCACACTGACAGCTGTGAGAGGCTCTAGTCTTGTGTGTCAGTATCTAGTACAGTTCTACTATTGCTCCTGTGCCATTGTCACTTTGCTCTACGGCACATGCCTCCTGTAGAAAAAGCTGCTGCCTTGAAAATAGTGAAATATTCTGCTGAAAACGGTAATCAAGCAGTAGAAAGAAAGTTTGGAGTGAGCGATAAACTTGTGAGGGACTGGTGGAAAGCGAGGATGAAGAACACAGCTTCACAGTAACCGGGCGGGTGCACCATGTAACTTTCCTGGAAGCCACTGGGTGAATCAAAAAAGCCTGAACTTCAGTGACACAGACAGTGACACAGTGACCTGTCGGGAATCAGAGAGCAAGAATAATTCTAACTGGAACTGATGCTGAGTCTGACAACAGCGACACAGAAGAGGAAGCGCCGCTCCATTTACATCATGGATCTATGGTTTATCTCCGGAGGTCGCGCAGAAGTGACACTGAGGATGAAGAATTCAGTGGATTTAGTGATTTGGAGTGTTGTTTATGCTATAATTATCTGAGTAACTGTTACTATGTTACGTTAACATATTAACGCATATTCAGTCTGTTGTTCTCTGTTCTGTTGTTTTTACTAGAACTTGACTTTCAAGATGAAATGTCTGTTCCTGATCTCATACATACATTTCCCCAAAAAGTGTGACTTATATATATGTTTTTTTCTTCTTCATTGCGCATTTTTTGGCTCGTGCAACTTACAACTTATTGTCCGGAAAATACGGTATACACTTAAACTAGAATTGGAAAGTTTTAGACCTGGACTCGCCAATCTACTGAACTACACTACCGGTCAAAAGTTTTAGAACACCACACTTTTCAAATTTTCACTGTTTACTGTACTAAAACATCTAAATTCTAAACTTTTGATTGATGAAAGTGTCCACCTTTGGCAGATATAACGGCTAAACACACTCGTGTCTCGTTTTTTTCACAACAGAAATCAAATATTCTTCAGAAAGTTCTTCTCAAGTCTGTTGCAGAAGTTTCCATAAATGTGTGGCACTTGTAGTTTGCTTGGTTTTCACTCTTCTGTCCAGTTCATCCCAAACCAGCTCGATGGGGTTTAAGTCTGGACACTGTGCTGGACACTCCATGTTTTCAAACATTACCATCTTGTTCTTTTTTTCTGAGGTAGTTTTGGCAGAGCTTGGACTTGTGTTTTGTTCTTTTATCTTTTTTTAGCCTCTGGCTGTTCAGTTCTTACATTTGTACCATTTCAAGGTCTTTAGTGGACTTGAATTGCAATAAATAACTGGAAAAATTAGGGTGTTCTAAAACTTTTGACCGATAGTGTAAATGTAAAAGGAGCTGTTCACTTGAAAACTACCACTTCATGACATCACAAGGTGGAACAGAGCATTTCGAGCTTTGGAGATGCAGACAGACTAAAAATAAGGGATTACTCAAACATGTGTGAATGAAACAAACAGGGCTGGCTATCATTAAGAAGTTGCCGATACGATACATATGCCATGAGACATATCTCGATACAGTGAGCTTATGATTCCATACGATATATATTTCAAATTTATTCGATACGGTTCAATAAAAATTAAAGTCTAAATCATGGCTGTGACACTAAAAGTCTTTGTTAAACCACTTCTTGTCCAAAGTTCATATGAAACACAAACATTTTAATCATCAAAACTGTGAAAATGTCAATGAGTTTCCTTCCTCTAAACAAACAACAAAACTGTAGCGCTGTAACATAATAATTTAGTAAAATGTACCAAAATACTCTTGGCGATACATTTATTTCTATATTATTTTGATATTTTTGCACACCCCTAGAAACAAAACACAACTCCAGGTATTTTTTTTGAAGACGTAACATTATAACATGACTTAAATCTCACAAGAGTCAATTTTGCGTATTATTTGACCTTTAAGTTTCTCTTGAATAACTGACCTAGAAGTGACTACGGCCGTTGTGTGACATGGTAGAACAGGTCGGTTCAAAAAGCACATTTAAACACACGTTAAACATGAATCATTGATGTAAAATGAGCACATATATTGCAGTTTAATATGTTACGTTGTGCACACAGGCACTTGCCCTGCCTCTCTCCTCTGTACTTAACCATGACCTACTTCTATAATGACCTACTCAGAGACTAATGCACTGACTACGCACTCCCGCTCAAGTGTAATCACCACGGCAACAGTAACTACACTTCTGATACACATTTTAGCCGTTTGTTTTGCTTTTTGGTCGGTGAAAACTCTACAGAAATGTCCCACAGTATGAAATTAAACATATCTATCTGACAGTTGTTGAATTACAGGTGTTTTTATTGGTGAAAGTAGTTTCATGCTTCAGTAAGAAGTATTCTGGACAGAGTATTAATAAAACCAGGTCTAAACCAGAACTAAAACCAAGTCTAAACCAGAACTTAAAAGCAGGTCTAAACCAGGTCTAAACCAGAACTAAAACCAAGTCTAAACCAGGTCTAAACCAGAAGTAAATCCAGGTCTAAACCAGAACTAAAACCATGTCTAAACCAGGTCTAAACCAGAAGTAAATCCAGGTCTAAACCAGAACTAAAACCAGGTCTAAACCAGAACTAAAACCAGGTCTAAACCAGGACTAAAACCAGGTCTAAACCAGAACTAAAACCAAGTCTAAACCAGAACTAAAACCAGGTCTAAACCAGGTCTAAACCAGAAGTAAATCCAGGTCTAAACCAGAACTAAAACCAGGTCTAAACCAGGTCTAAACCAGGTCTAAACCAGAAGTAAATCCAGGTCTAAACCAGAACTAAAACCAGGTCTAAACCAGAACTAAAACCAGAACTAAAACCATGTCTAAACTAGAACTAAAACCAGGGCTAAACCGGAACTAAAACCAGGACTAAACTAGAACTAAAACCAGGACTAAAGCCAAGTCTCAACCAGAATTAAACCAGAACTAAACCAGAAATAAAACCAGAACTAAACCAGGACTAAACCGGAACTAAAACCAGGACTAAACCAGAATAAAAACCAGAACTAAACCAGAACTAAAACAGGACATAAAGGTGGGCTATGGCGTAAAAAAGTTTGGGGACCACTGAGTTAAGGTGCATGAAAACACAGTGAAGCACTTCCAGTATTACCAAATGACATCACAAGGTGGAACAGGGTGTTTTCTATTTGAGAGAAGAACTCAGCCTAAACAGTTGTTTAGTTACAGGTGTTTTTTATTCTTAAAAGTAGTTGTAGTAGTAATGCTTTAGTAAGGAGCATTCTAGACAGAGCAATAATCCAGTATCTCAGTGGAAACAAACAGATGCTGAACCCTGGAGCTTAATGTTATGTAGTTATTGTTTTTGTGGCATTTTTGGGCCTTTGAATCCTGCTTTTATTTTAATGTTTGTTTGCTTATAATGTATTCCCCCGTGAAACCAGAAAATGTGCAGCTTTACTACAGATTTGGGTTTATAAACTACAATATCAGAGTTTAAAATAGCAGAAATAAACCCTAACATTTACAAATATTTAAACAGGTCCATAGATTTAGGAAATATTCGTTTTTGGGGCATATAACTATAACATTTTATACTTTTAAACACAACACTGTTAAACTCAATATATGAACTAAAACTAGGGTGCATTTACACTTGAAATTGAGACTAAACTGGAACTAAATTCATAAATAATCCATGATTAGATCAGGACTAAACCAGGATTAGATCAGGACTAAACCAGGAATTAGATCAGGACTAAATCAGGATTAGATCAGGACTAAATCAGGACTAGAAACAGGACCAAACCAAGTCTAAATCTGGTCTAAACTTTGCTCAAATCAGGATCCAACAAAGACAAATGAGAATACACCTTTAAACTCATTCAAACAACCATAAAGGATGATAAAGAATTGGATATTTTTAACCTCTAACGGGACCAAATCAAGTCTAAATCTGGTCTAAACGTTGCTCAAATCTAGGATCCAACAAAGACAAGTGAGAATACATCTGTAAATTCATTCAAACAACCATAAAGGATGATAAAGAATTGGATATTTTAAACTCTATACCTCCATATTTAGACTTTGTATTGTCTGACTGGAGTTAGTATTTTAATTTGACTGAGAATTACAGCTATTACACATATTTTTCGATTTACCTTTGAGGTCGAGGTTCTTGGCGCCCATGGTGGTCTGCGTGGTCACTTTGGTGTCGATCTTCACCACGTGCAGGTTGTTGGTGTCTCTGGAGATGTGGACGTTGTGCCAGTGGTTATCGTTCAGAGGAGAGTTCGAGTTTCCTTTGATTAAATGAGCTCCGTTCCCCAGGTCTGAGATGTAATGCAGGTAACTGGAGAGAGGAGAGAAAAGAGATATTATATTGTAAAGGATCAGACTTATTTCTTGGTAAACATCTGTGAAGAGATTTTTAACTTTTTAATTGGCTGCAAAAAGTCATAAGATAATACAGACATTTCAGTCACTATTATCATTGTGATTAACAACTGTAATATCACAATAATTGCTTTGAAAATACTGTATTTTCCACACTATTAGGCGCTCTGGATTGTAAGACGCACTGTCATAGAATAGTCCATTTTCTAACTTTTTTTCACAAATAAACCCCGCCAGACTTTAAAGGAAACACAACAGTTGGATGGGTCAGTGGTACTTTGTTTGTGGCGTTCACGGTGACTCTGGGCTTTGTTCAGTTGTGGCGTGTAGGGAGGGTGCTGTCTGGGATCGCTGGATTGTCGGCGTGTTCGCAGTGACTCAGTTGTTCAGTTGTGTCTAGAAGTGGCACATTGCACTCGCTTTTTCGGTTCGTTCCTCCGTTCCGTTCCTCGTCGGCGTGGAGTGATGAGTGTGTCTGTGGGTGTTTTTCGCTGTGCGGTCGCTGTCTGCTCCGTGTGTGTTTGCGTGTTCTGCGGGTGTTGTGGCTTTGTAGTTTACTGAAGTCGTACTGGGACACCTGAGTGGATTCGTGTATAGGGCGCTCTGGATTGTTGGGCACGCAGTCGTTTTTTGATGGGGTTGGAGGCTTAAGAGCGCGTCTAATAGCCCAGAAAATACGGTACTCAAGTTACTGTAAACGCCATGTACCTTACTTTAAAGAACATTAGTCATTTGTTGTTATTAGGGGTGTAACGATATCCAAGTCTCACGATACAATATCATCACGGTATGAATCTCACGATACGATATGCTCACGATTAGGGATTTAACAATATCTAAATCTCTCGGTACGATATTTTCACGATGTACATCTCACGGTACGGTATTTATTGCGATATTTTGTGGAGGCTAATATTCTACTTTTTCCTCTTGAATTGCCTTGACAAGACTTAATCCAAAGAACTAAGACTAAAAAGTGCAGTACAGAAATGGAGCAAAGGATCATGGTCTATGTGGTTCCCTCTGTCTTATTTTTAGCTGTTGCTGCACCATAACTCTTAATTTAAGCAAAAAGATTGTAATTTCATATATTGTGATGGTCCACGATATTATTGTGAGAACTTTGACGATACGATATCACGATATTTCACTTATTGTATCATCCCTAGTGGTTATTAATACTACAACTATTATGGTATTGTATTGTACTTTGTTATAAGTGAAGACAACAATGGATAAATCTCGTTTTTAGCACAATCTGATGACTTATTGGCGATTACTACTTGCTAAAATGTGCCAAGAACAATTATCGTCTTCCAGTCCTTAAATGTACATATAGATTTTAGATTTTCCTATCCAGGTTTGTGGCCGGTACACTGTCCATTGAACCCTAAAAGTAAACACGAAAACAAAAAAATACTTACTTTTTTTATTCTCATTGTGGTTTATTTTGCACGATCATAAACGATAAACTTCTGTGCCTTCTTTATCATTATTATTAGGTTGTGTGACCATAAATTAAAACCCAAATTCTTACCTTTTAGTTCGTATTACTGTTTACTTTGTATGTTCATAAATGATTAACTCTTATTAGTTTGTACGACCATAAACGAACACAAAAATCCTCAAATTTTACATCCTTGTTTTTGTTTTGTTTTTTGTTAGTGTTGTTGATTTCGTGACTGACTGCAAATTTGCTATGATTATGATTAAACTAATAACGAATCAAAAAGGGCAAGTACAAGTTTTAGGTTTCATTCCACAAATTGCTTAACAGTTTAGGTAAAAATGAATCGAAGAGAATAGATTATTATTACAAACTCACCCTTTAACCAGCTCCACCACGATGAAGTCATTCCCGTCTCCTCTGTTGAAAAGTATGAGTCCGTCTGGTGAGGTGGTTTTGAACTGCATGAACAGGTGCATGGAGTAATAGGCCTGGAGCGTGGGGAGGGTCACAAAACTGGACCTGGACCTGAACGTGACGGGGTCCGCCACGATGCTTTTGTACCCGATCACGGCGTTCAGCTCGCAGTAGTCTATGTCTCCGTTCTTGCACAGGTCGATGTAGGGCATCCCGTTGAGAGTGAGGCCCTGGAGGTGCCCGATGAAGTTGGAGGGTACGGCGGGCATGAAGCGCTTCTCCGTCACGATGCCGGTCTCCACGTTGTGAAACTCCAGCTGGGTGTGGTCGCCCGCCATTTGACCTGGGTAAACTCGACATGTGAGGGCTACAAACAAAACTCGAAGACAAACAGACAGAGCTACGTAGAGGATCTGTGTGAGAAACTGTCAAAGTATTACATTATATTAGATTACACAACAGTGTCTTGGTGTAAACTGTCAGTGCCGGATAAGATCATTATGCAAAGAGCGTGAAGTGTAAGAGACGTTCATAATTCAATTTGTAAAAATGTATTAGCTTGTGTACTTGTAATCGTAATTAAAATGATAATAAAACTCAAATAACTCTGTGAAACATGGAATTGAAAAACAACACATTGTCTGGGTGTAAACTGTCAATAAAATATATATCTTACTGGAGTAGATAACACGTAGAAAGTATAAGGAATGTCGGCAATTACATTTGTAAGAAGGGTATTAATCTTAAATCAGCCATAATTAAATTAACAGTTTATTTTATTTATTTTTTTATTGCATCTATACATATTTATTATTATTACTACTCCTACTACTGTTGTTCTTCATAATGGTTGAACACAATTAACTTTTCTGTAAACCAAGAACTATTATTATTATTATATGTTATGTCATTACGTTATTTAATTGGCCCATGACATTTTTTTTTTTTTACATAAGAATTAAATATAATATAGTGATATGGTTTATGTTCTTGGATGTTTGTTTGGATACAAGACAGTAAGAGATATGTAATAAATATAGTACAGTAATAGTTGTATAGTAATAAATATGAGACAGTAATAGTGGTTTAGTAATAAATATATACTAGTAATAGTGATATAGTAATAAATACAGTACACTAATAATGGTATAGTAGTAAATATTGTACAGTTATTGTGGTATAATCATAAATATAAGACTGTAATAGTGATATAGTTATAAATACAGTTCAGTAATAGTGGTGTAATAATAAATATAGTACTGTAATAATGGTATAGTCACAAATATAGTACAATAATAGTGATATTATAAAAAATATAAGACAGTAATAGTGATATAGTCATAAATAAAGTACAATAATAGTGGTATAATAATAAATATCATACAATATATAGTGATATAGTGATAAATATAGTACAGTACTAGTGCTTTAGTAATAAATATACACCGGTAATAGTGGTATAATAATAAATAGAGTACAGTAATAGTTTTATAGTAATAAATATAGTACTGTAATACTGATACAGTCATAAATATAGTACAATAATAGTAGTATAGTCATAAATATAAGACAGAAATAGTGATATAATAATAAATACAGTACAGTTATAGTGGTACAATAATAAATAAGACAGTGTTAATGGTATAGTAATAAATACAAGATAGTAATAGTGATATAGTAATAAATATAAGACTGTAATAGTGCTATAATAATAAATACAGTTCAGTAATAGTGGTATAGTCATACATACAGTGGAGTTATAGTGGTATAATAATAAATAAGACAGTGTTAAAGGTTGTATGGAGGATTTTTTTTTTGTTTCAAATTGTCAGTGAAAGATTAAAATACCATTACAGAGATGCAGCAGCTTTGTAATTATGATGACCAAAATAAAAAAGAACGAAAATCTATCAACTGTGGACATAGTGAGGCCAGATAAACATCAGCCAATAGAAAACGAGGCTCCCTCATTTTCTATTGGCTGTTAGGTTGTCAATCAAACTCCCTAGTATAACTGACTCGTTGGAGCGCAGGGATTACGTGGTTTATGCGGCGGTTCTTAGAGGATTTTTCGAACTGTTGCTTCCTTGCATTTCTCACAAAGTTTGTCGCAACGGCGGACGAGAATCCACGACCGGTTCCCCAAAAGAAAGTCCGTTTTTTGAGGTCGCTGAAAGAAGAAGAGAAGGGGAAAAGGAGCAAAGCCAAACTGAGGTGATTCTTGGAGATCTCGTCCAGCGATGGCGCGACCGAAGCAGACGAAGCGTGTAGAAACTGATGCGTCGGTCACTAAATTACTTCTAGACAGGTCACTTCAACAGTAATTCTGAATGCGCACAAGGATTGTCGCTGTATTTCTCTTCACTTAACAAAATCCTCTATACAACCTTTAATGGTATAGTAATAAATATAAGACAGTAATGAAACAGTGTCATATGTTTGTGTTTTACCTTCCACAGGCTGGAGGTCGTCCACGGTGAGTTTGAGGCTCTTTCCGCGCCGAACCACTCTCACCGTGTGCCACTCGTTATCATTGAGCGCAGAACCAGCAAAGATAGTCTCTGGACCTTTACCTACGCATATAGTCCAGGACAACATTAAATACACGCACACGGAAACACAGCCAGGATAGACAGAAAACTGAGCTTATATAGAGGAAAAAAGAGACAGAGAAATAAAGAGAGAGGGAGGGAGGGAGACTGCAAAATCTGAAGATATACATGGGTTAAAAAGGCTTGAAGTCAAAATAATAATCTTTATTTGAGTATTTTTCAATGTTTAATAATTAAAGTTGTACTATGTAACTTTCTGGGTGGAGGGTTTTTCACAGTATGATATTAAACTTCTTAATCTATTTCCATGAAGACAAACACCAAGCCAATTTACAGCTCCAATTTGAGGAATCGTTTTATTGTAGAAAACACTTCTAATTAAATAACAAGCAAGTTTAATGCCATACTGTGGTACATTCTAGTGAAACCAGTCTCCATGGACACAACCAGGTGCTGGACTCTTACCAGAAATGTTGCATAGTGTTGAAATGTGCACATATCTGTCTCGAATTTATTGAAATTTAGATTTTCTTTGCTCAAAAATGCTTAAAAAACCTATACAATTGTACAGTGAGGGTTGCCTCTCCGCAGATCTGACCTGTAGCTTGGCCTAGTGAAGTGATCTGCTTGTCTCCATGTATATATAAATGTTTAATGCCATTCTATGGAACTTTCCAGCATTGGCAATAACATTTCCATGGCGACAAGCAGATGGGAACCTCTGTTACACCTTTAAATGCACCTTTAAGTTTTAGTTAGTTTGCAGGACTAGATTTTGGACATTTTTGAGGGGTATTTGGTTTGGTTGGTTTCAATATTTGACATAGTCTTACGATCCGTCTGAAGAGTAAGAATGTTTTTAGTTACAAAAACAACTCAAAAAGTCTTAGATTACAGATGCTCATTTCTCAAAATTTAACAAAAACATAGAATCCAGTAAAATTACATTAACACCTAAAGTAACAACTGGCCCGAAAACTACAAAAACATAATTAATATTCTGAATTCCAGCCGTTTTAAGTCATGCAGATTTTCATATTTTGCAGTGAAACGGCCAGGGAGTGTAACTTAAACGTAAAGGAGATTGGGGAGAAGAGTGAAGAGAAGGGGAGGACAGGCGCTCACTCACTCAGACACATGGCTATTTGGAGAGGAGACACACAGATGGACAGATAAAGTGACGCTATAATGGAAGACGGAGGATGACGTGGGTCCCTAAGATGGCGCCCGCACGACCCAAGTGGCAAAGGACAAAATGATGAGCAACTACTACCCACATAATAGAGATTTTAATATGACCTAAAGGTTCTATATTACGCAAAACTGACTCTTGTGAGGTTTAAGCCGTGTTGTAATGTCGTTACCTCATCAAAAACAGACCTGGAGTTCTGTTTTGTTTGAATAATCCTGAATTATTTGTCTCTCCACATCACTTAAAATCAAAATCCTCTGTTCCACCTTGTGATGTCATGAAGATTTCAAGTTACAGCTACTTTTTTTTTAACCTTTTGTTCAGCAGAGATGGTCAATTCCAGATCTGAAATCACCCAAATGATTCTAGTGAAGGTATAAGGAGTTTAAAAACACAGTGGAGCACTTTCTGTATTAGCACATGACATCACAATGTGGAACAGAGTGTTTTGGGGGTTTTTTTCCACATAAGAGAAGCTTAAAGAACATGTGTGAATGAAACAAAACACAACTCCAGGTAACATTATAACAACAGATCAGAAAATAGCGTAGTAACGATGGATCTACAATTGTACTGTTAAAATACTGGTTTACTGTTCACTGTATTTTGAGACTAAATTATAAAATTAAAGTGATATATTGCAAAGATTAGATTGCAGACTAAGTAATAAGGGTCCTGTCTTAATATTACAACTGACATTAAAAAAAATAATAATGAAATTAGGGCTCAATACTGAAATCGTGAATATTAAAATGATTATGTTTTAGTTACACGATGCATTTATTCAGCATTTTTCTCTCAAAAAACTCCACTTTGTTATAGATAATTTATGCAAAACTTTCAAATTGAAAATAAATAAAGGCTACAAATATGAACCTTTGAGCAGTTTTACGATGTATAAAACATAAAATGAATAAAATATACTTTGAACATGAAATAAGGCTTAGAAAAACATAAATGTATCCAAAATAAACTATATATCCAGTTGTTCCTCAATCTGTATATTAAAAAAGTAATATAAATAGACTAATTTATATGTATTAATTTATATGTATTTATATAACTTATTTTATCGTTTCAACTCGATTACATGAGTTTGGAGATCATTTGACACACAAATTGAAATCGCGAACTCCAGATATGTTTTTGATGAGGAAACAACATTATAACATAGATCAGAAAATAGCGTAATATGGGCCCTTTCACTAATACTACGTACATAAGGAGGGATCCACTATCGTACTGTTAAAATACTGGTTTACTGTCCACTGTATTTTGAGATTCAATTATTATTATTAAATTAAAATGATAGATTACATACATTAGATGATAGACTAAGTAATAACGATCCTTTCTTCATATTACAACTGACATAACAAATAATAACAATGAAAAAATTTACTGAAATATAGTCATACACAAACAGTGATGCCACTAACGCGCTACTACTACTTATGCGTTACTCTAGTCCGACTACTTTTTTCAGTAAAGATTCGTCTAACGCAGTGCTATTTCCAAACCAGTAGTCAGATTTAAGTTACTTATCTAATACACTGTGCGTTACTATTTTTGCGTTTCAGGGCAACGTAGGTTATTTTTTATTTATTTTTTATTTTTTGGCGATGTGGGTTATGTGACCCCAAAGATCGTATAAATCGTCTCTGGTGACACATTTCCTGTGATGTTACGTCGTCTCCGCTCCTCCACGAGTCACATGTAAACATGGAGGGAGAGTTATGCCTTTTGCAGCTGGAAATACAAACATTATTTAGTTTTATTTCAGCTCAGGATGGCAACATAAAGGTTCATTGTTCACTCTGTGCTGGTGACAAAGTGTTGTCTGTCTTCAAGAAAACAACATCAAACCTGAAGAAACATCTAGAGACACAGCGCGGCACAACCACGTTAACAGAGCAGGTCCCACCCGGTGCGAAGAAAACAGTAACATAAAGTAACTTGTAATCTAACTTACTTACTTTTTAAAGAAGCAATCAGTAGTCAGTAGTCAGATTACTATTTCAAAGTAACTATGGCAACCCTGTACAAAAAATAGATTGAAGACCAGTTTCTTGCTTTGTGGAAAAACTTATTTTATATTTATGTTTATTTACGAATATGAACAAGTGTCAAGATGATGCCCTGACAAAGAAATAAATGTACAGTATGTTAAATATGACTATGTTTGTGAAATAATGTCAGAATTTACCTGTGATCGAAATAAATTAATCAGTCAATTATTAGGTAAACATGAGAATACAAATAGATAAATAATATATACAGTAATAATAATAATATATGAATTAGTTATAATGATAATAAGTGGATGATACAGTAATTTGTCAAAACTAAAACTGCAAATAAACTTAAAATACATTATAACAGGATCTAGTGTCTATAAATACAATTATACTTCCTGCAATTACTGCATCCAAACTATTTTAACCAGATATTTAACATTCTGCTTCTGCCTCTGTACCATATGTTCACTATCTCTCCTCTGCCAAAACCATCTCAATCTTGGTTCTTTTCTAACCCTTACTCTATTTCAATAAGTCAGGATATTAAATTTACAAATTCCCGTCATTAATAGGATAATGGGAGTGTGGCGGACTGGTTAAAATTGCTTTATAATGTACATTTCATGGCTGGTGTGTTCATACGTGTTGATAATTTGTAAGGAGGAGGCAAAAAACGATTAAGCTTCCCCGCTGAAATCGCCCACTCGTGTTTACATCAATCATCTGCCGTCCCTCTGGAGCGCAGTACCTCCCGGATCCTCTTGGTGGCAGTGTTGGTACGCGACAACGCACAGGGGGAGCTATCCAAGGTGCTGACGTGTGAGGAAAAAAAATGATATAAATAAAAAAAACGCTAGTAGCTGTCCTTTTATGATGTCTCTCTCTTCTCGCTACCCGTCTAACCTCTTCCTATCTGCTTATAGTTGGTTGCACACACTTGACAGACCAGCAGCCGCTTAAAATCTTGCTGTTTTTTTTCCCTTTCCAGCTAAAAACGAGGGGAGCTAACCAGCGAATGCACCACAACCATGGCTCTGTGAGGGACTGCAACAGTAATAGGGGCTGGAAACATCTGAATTTTAAATAGTTTTCCCCCAAAATATACATAATTTAAAGGGAAGGGTACCACAGTGTTCTTAGCGAGCTGTACCGGGACAGGATTGTGAATATAATATACTAAAAATTTGAAAAAAACTGAATGTGAAATTAAAGCTTGTGCCGGATGAAAAATGGGAACACGTGACAAACCCGTGTATCTGCGCTCTCAAATGTGACGTTAACATGTTCAAATCACACATCGCTTTTACAGGTAACAATTGCATTTTTAAAGGTTCACTATTACACAAAAATGACTCTTGTGAGCTTTAAGTCATGTTAGAATGCAAAAACAGATATGGAGTTGTGTTTTGTTTCATTCACACACGTTTAAGTAATCATTTATTATTATTCTGTCTGCATCTCCAAAGCTCAAAATGCTCGTTTCCACCTTGAGATGTTATGAATCGGTACTTTTCTAGTTAACAGCTCCATTTTACCTTTAGTTCAGTAAAGATTGGCAATTCCAGGACTGAAATTATCCACATGATTCTAGGTGTGTGGAGTTTAAAAACACAGTGGAGCACTTCCTGTATTACCACATGACATTATAAGTGTTTTCTGTGGGAGAGAACTCAGTCTAAACATGCAGGATTTGTGTGTTAAACAGTGTAAAGTAACGAATTAGTGTAATGCATTGCTTTTTGCTGTAACGCAGTAATGTGCGTCACTATGCTTTTTTAACCTGGACTGAAGTGGTGGGATTTTCGTTTTTC